TAACTGGGAAGCAACAGTCTTCCTAGAATAGAAACTTCTGCTTTTAATAATGAAGTGGCCATTACTCATGGTCCCAAGGAAACTGCTCTGGTTAACACAGTAAAGAGACCATAACTTCTTGAACACCATACCTGCCCAGAGCAGCACAGAGCAGGGAAAGCTCTCAAGCAAAACTTTACAAGACAGTTTCATCTTTACAACTTCTACCCATCCATATTTATTTCCATACTCTTTGGAAATTAGAGGCAAATCAGTTGAATAGAAACAAAGAATAAGCTACTTCCCTGCTTGCTCCCTGCTTCTCAACAACAGGGAACAAGAGGCAAAGTCTAGAAATTTAAAGGCAATGGGACACACACAACTCAGTGGGCATATATGGCTACTGAAAAGACTTCTAGGAATGCAGCTAGAAGAACCAGGAGGAGACAGATTTCCTGATGCTTCTGGCTTTTAACCTTGCTTGTAGGTCTCATGCCCTCTTATCTGCCACTGATTAGTATAAGATCAACATGTTTTAAGCTTCCTGTTGAGGAGAGCTTTCTCCATGGAAAAGCAAGAGGTAAACTTTCAATCAGGCTGAGGTTTTTTCTTAAAAATAAATTCTGCAGCTTTCTGTCATGTCTGCTACTTCTGCAGGAAAGACAAGACATGAGCATCCCACAAGGTTCTTTTCCCATCTTCTTAGCCTGCTGGATATAGCAAAGAACAGCTGTTCAGTGAGAAGGGGAAATAGTTTCAGCTTCTATAATTCTCTAGAGTTTTGTTTAAACAAAGACAGCACAAACTCAGTAATATCTAGCTCTCTTAGCTTCTACGAGTTTGAAAGTACAAACTGCATGTATCATATAGAATAAAACACACAAATATTTAAGATGAGAGTCTACAGTTTATTGTTTGGGGGTGGTTTTGGTTGTTTGGGGTTGTTTTGATTTTGTTTTTTTAAACTTTGTTAAAGTCTTTTAACAAAGACTCTTCTGAATGCCAATATTGATAATATCAAATTTGACAATATGCTAAATGTTGGGAGTTCTCCTTGCAGCTTATATAACTTCCCCAGTTAAAAAGGAAGATGACCTAAGAATTAGTTCTTACAATGTTCCAGAAGCTAATTTAAAACATCTGCCATTTTAGCAAGGAACCCACACTATCACCCAGTGAACACATACAGCCCTGGCTGTAACACTAGCAGAGCCCCAGGTTTCTCCCAAGAAGTTACAGTGAGTTTTGCTTGACAAATCAAAGTACCACTCAAAGTGATCTAGTCTGTATGCTGTAAAAGCAACTTTACCGTGAGCAATCTCACATTAAAATCCAGCAGCTGGTTTACACATTCTTCCACATTTTGCAAGCTTCCAGGAAGAACAGTGACATGACAACGGAAGCGTTAAATCTCACATAAAAAAAAAAAAAATACATCAGTGCAGTTCCATGAAGTTCTCTGCAACTTCTTTCTCAATTTCTTTAGATGTCTGTCCTGAACAAATAAACTTAAGTATTTGCTATAACACTACAATGACAGTTTTTAACTTTGGATATGCATGTCTAGAATCCAACTCTAAACAGAGTTGCCAGTCCTTTCCCCCAACTCCACATTTTAAGAAAACAAAACTGGTCTAAATTTCAACACTATGGACAATCCATCAAGCAGAGCCAGAAGCAAGCCAAAGTTAAAACAAGTTTATGCCTACACCTGGCTGGCACAGACAATGTTCATTTCAGTCCAGACTGAAAAAATAACACAAGTGCAGAGAGAATTACATCTTCACAAAAGCATTTTGAATTCAGGTTACATACTGAAGGGTCTTACACACGACAATATAAGGAAAGTGATAACTGAAGCTAACGGTATCCATTTGTGTATCATACACCTTTCACAGAGTTCATCCCCCCCACAAGCCTTGTCCATTGAAGGCCTAGAACACAGGTCCTTTATCTCAAACTCAGTTCCAAGACAGTCTGTTTCAATGGGTTCAAAAGTGGCAAGGGCTCAGTAACTACTTCACAATCTTTTTCCCTTTGTAAAACCCATCCTTGGAGCCAAGTTACACAGAAAGCTTTTGGGAAGGAGCTCTGACAGCACAAAAGAAGCAAAACAGAACTTAACTGTTTACCTTCATTGTTGTCAGTCAAAGCATTTGATTGCAAACTGTGCTCTGCCTTTAATCACAGTATCAAGTAGATCCAGTTGTTGGTATTTCAAGCTATTTCACTCAGCTCTTTTAGAAATAAAGCCATTGGAGGGAATGTTGGTTTATCATGGCCGGACCCTGAGCTACCAAAACCCACATAGTAAGTGTTAGGAAAACTGAATTGCATATGTCCTGGCATAGCAGCAAAGCATAAAACTTTGCCAGATACCAGCCAAACAGCTTTAGGGTACATAAAGAAACTTCTTGGTCCCACCTAAATTTCACAAGTCACTCAAAAATTAGCATCAGATGACATAAACAACTTCCAGTTAAGACAACTTTCTGCAAACTGCAATGAGAAGAGACAAGCAACATCGAAGTCTTTAGAAAAATCTAAGAGAACAGGTTTACAGGTCACTCCTCACAATCTAATCCTCATTGAGTTAGACTGAAAAGAATCAGCTATAAC